GTCCCATCCCATAAAGTTTAAGTGATTCCAGTATTTAACCATTTAAAATTTTTATTTTTAAATTAAACAATTGTAATAATACATTTGTGAGTATAGTTGATTCCACTTCTGCAAGGAATGCTTCCAGGAGCTGATGCTACTTTATCACTCTTTATTGCTTCATTTTTATCCCCCAGTATTACAGTAAAGTAATGATAGAGTTTTCAGATGTGTTCTTTTACCTGGTTTGCAAAGGCATTTTTAGAAAATGGCTAGTTTCCTTGCACTTTGCATTCACCAAGATCATCTGATAGCCTGCTGTGAATCTGTTTTTATATACTAATGATTTACAAAGTTCTCTCTTATTTTAAGTAGCTTCAGGGTGTCTGTGACCTAAATTGTCATTGTGAGCAATGTCTACTTTGAATGTGTTTCTCTTTTTCTTATCTGGTGTTATATGAATTTAACAGTGTTATGTAAATATATACATACCTATGTAAATATCTATGATATGATATTTTTATGTTTTTTCTGTGTGACATTATTTGAAGTTAAAGATTGATTTATATCTTTCATTTACATTATAAGAGTGCCAACTTAGTAAAGTTATATGAGAGTTCTGTATTTGAAGAACCCTGCAAACACTGATGAAGTACTTGCATTAAATTTCAACCCTGAATAAATTTCAACCCTGAAGAAATTTGAAAGCTATGAACAGGCATAATATCTTTGACCCTGGCTGGAGTTTGGCCTTTTCCATGGAGCACAGGACTCAATTCAATAGGAAGAGTTTGTTCTCTTTTTACTGCTAGCATCATTCTCTGTTCAGATGGGAGCTGTATTTTGAAATTAATGTATGGTTATTGTAACAGGATTGACTGAAAGCAGCTAAGAGGGTGTATACATATCCTTTAAATTCTGCTGTTCAGCTGTTCTTCTTCATTCATTTACCTTCCTCACTTTCCAAATAGGGAATGTACCTAGCCAAGCACATACGCACACACAAATACCTCTCTATCATCCAAATTAACAGTGAAATTTGCATTCAGTAGGTTGCATAATTGCAAATATATAAAATGTACATGAAATCCTGTACTAATTTCTGTCATTTCAGTATGTCCCAATTTAATTGTTATTCTCAGCCTGGTTTAGAGGCCCATATTTGTTCCAGAGTGCTTGATATCCATCACAGTTTGAATTTAGAGAAACAGAATTGTAAGGAAATCTTCCTCATATATATGATTTTGAAATGTTAATATTTTTATGAAATAGAAATGTTTGTACTGGATCTGTGGTCCTTTGTGGCTTCTGGTGTTTTCTACCTTCCATGTTTTCACCTCCTAAATCTCATTATATCACAGCTGAAGATAACATCACTTTAAAATATTATCTTACCTGGAAGAAATTGTCACAGCTGAAGTCAAGGGAAGTTGATAGGGATCTTCTGTGTCTGCAAATATAACCCGTTCTACTGAGCACTACTCAGTAAGAGTTCTTTGTAGCATGTTAGGATTTCTTCTGCCGGCAGGTGAATATATTATCAAACATGTATTCCATAATGACATCTTAAAGTTTAAAAAAATCTCATTGATTAAATAACATTTTCTTCTATGAAAATTGTAAGATCAAATTCTAATGTCTAAATTTAACTCAGCATTTTTCTATTCTCATCTTTTAAATTCTACCAGTACTTAAGGTATCATTTATAATTGCCTTTCTGCATGTAGAATTCTTTTTGAAATCTGTGAAGATGGTAGGTAAAAAGGGAGGACAAAAGACCATTGCTTTTTTCAGCAGAATTTGGAATGTTAAAAGAAATTTTAAAGCATTGCCAGTTTGACATGTATTTGATATGTATCCGAGAACTGAAATATTTAACTCTGTTGTTACTTTATTCTTTGGAAACCCACATGGCATTTTAGGGGATTGATATTATCTATCTCTTTCTCAGTCAAGCTGGTTAGTAGTCATCTGTATTCTGGGTGCTCCAAATACCTCGACTGATATAGCACTTCTGTGATCTGACTGACAGCATTTACAGGCTAATCACTAGAATCAAATGCACTTAAGCCTTACTGTACTTTGAAAGTTTTGCGCTTCATACCAAATAGTACATTTGCTAAGTGCAAACCAGCACTCTTTTGGTAATACATATATACATAGATACATTGGCCTTCTAGTATCAATTTGCATCTTTAGTATGCGAAGTTTGCAGAATGACTACAGGTAAAAGAAAGTGTATGTGCTTATGTTGCATACACTGAATTTGCTGTTTCTTTAGCTTAACTCAACACCGTGTTTCTTTGTCTTTAATAGTCCTGCAGTGGAGGTAAGAACTATATGTAAGTGGTGGCTTGACCCTGGCCAGTTGTTGTCGACGGATAAAGCCCGGGTGTCAAGAATAACACCAATATGGTTTGCCAGCTTGATCCAATTTTATTAAGCACAGAGCATCTTATGTACTATTAGGGCATGATCACATACAGCTAAACAAGCTGTGATTGGTTCTAAGCTACTGTTCACACAATATAACTCATATTTCATTGGTACAATGCAAGAAGCACAAGCAAGAAGTACAAGCCTATGGACCTCCTACTCAATGTTTCAACTTCACTCCATATCTCTAGTTAAGGAATTTGCTAAACAATAGCTCTCTATGCAGTGGCAAGCCAGAGAGGAACATTGAACAGTAAGTTCTTTACACAGAGGCAGCTAACAGAGAATTACTCATGTCGGTATCAAGGACCAGGTGGCTGTTATCTTCCAAAAACTTCTCCACAAGTTGTCAGACCCCCACCCAGCCTCTTTCACTCTCCCTCCTCAACAGAACAAGGAGAGAAAATAAGATGAAGAAGTTTGTGAGTTGAGGTAAAGATGGGGACATTCCTTACCAGTACCAGTGCTGGCAAAGCAGACTGGGGAAAATTAGTTAATTGCCAGTTAAAAGTAGAGTGGGGTGATGAGAAACAAAGACACAAACTAAAACGCTTTGCCCCACTCCCCTCTTCCCAGGCTCAACATCTCTCCTTCATTCCCAACTCCTCTATCTTCTCCCCTGTGAGTGACACGGGATATGGGAAATGGGAGTCTGTCCACAGCTGTTCCTCTCTGCTGGTCCTTCCTCTTCACACTTTTCCCCTGCTCCAGTCCATGTGCTGTCCATGGGCTACAGCCCTTCACAGTAAACCAGCGCCAGCATGGGTCCTCCATACCTCCATGGGTATTAGTTCTTGTAAGGAGAATCTGCTCCAGCGTGGGCTCTCTGCAGGTGGCAGTTTCTTCAGGAAATATCTACCTTGCTTTGGCAGAGGGTCCTCCATGGGCTTCAGTGTAGGTATCTGATCCAGCATGGTCCTGTGCATGGGCTTCAGGGAAATTCTCTGTTCCTATGCCTGGAGCACCTCCTCCCCCTTCTTCTCTGACCTTAGCATTTCCAGGGTTGTTTCTCACACTTTTTTCCTTCATTCTTCACTGCCTGGAAAGAATTTTGCCCCTTCTTAAATAAGCTTTCACAGAAGAACCACCAGTTTCACTGATGAGCTCAGCTATGTCCTGCAGCGGGTCCATTGCAGAGCAGCCACTGACCAATCCTTGCAGACACCACCCCTGCAGCCCCTTCAGTAGCAAAACCTCATCACTGACACCCAATACAGTAAGATGGAGGGAAAGAACATAAGGGGATGAAAAACAGGTCCAGAAATACAGAAATCTCTTTTGTTTTGTTTCTTGCTATGGTTAACTTATTTCTTCTAGTATCAGTTCAACTACAATAAAGCTAATTTGTGGTTGTTACTTTTCTAAACAAATGACTGGAGCAATTTTCTGAAAGACAAACTGAATGTATTAGGAGGAGAACTTAGAGTGTGTTTTCAGTTTCTAAAAAAACATACAGAGACATCAGGCTCGTTTTTTTAAACTCTTGAAAGATGGAAATGGGCGAAGAACAGCGCATATCAGTAATTGGGGTTTTGGCTACGTATGTGGTGTGTAGTGTGCTGAAAATACTTTTCTTACATTAAGGAGCACATTCTTTGTGTACTTTTCCTTCTCACTCATTATTTTTGAATAATAATTTTTTTAATCCTGCAAAAGTATTTTTATTTGCTTTAACCTATTTACTGAACAGCCTTGTTTGGATCTGGGCTATAGTTGAAGTGATGAGGTCTTCTTTTGTCACTGAGATTGTATCTTTTTTGTCTTTATGGGTTATGTTACTTTTTGAAAAGTTGCCTATTTGCAACTTCTTGCATATTGATACTCTCTACTAGTGACAAATACTGTTTGATTAAGTATTTATTTAGTAAATCATTAGGAACATCATTACTAAAATGCTTCAGTACCTTTGTTCCTGGTTGGGAAACTGAAGGCTGTGATTGTGCAAGAACCAACATGTGCATTTAATTTTGAGCTACCAGTAGACATCACCTGGCATTTGCTGGCCTTTGCATTTCAAATTTTCAGCATGAGATGTCTTTTTGAATCTTTGTGCAGTTTCTCATGTAGCTTTGCATCTTACATTGATCTGTATTGGTGCCTGAAGAATGCTTGGATAGTTCTGCAGAAGCTATAATACCACCCTGACTGAAGCATGGATATACTCTAGAGCAGGCTTAATATTGCATCTTAGAAAGTATTTTCAATTTGTATTTTAGATATCCATCATGAAAACACTTTCTTAAATTTTTCTCAGTAAGGAATTGATTTTGAAGGGACGAGGCTTAATTGGTCCACAGTTCTGTTTTACCAGAAATGACAATTAAAATATGAGGAATTCTTAATAAATAATATGTGAAAATTCAGTTTCATGTATAGTTCTAAAAATAATGCATGAAAAAATTTTTTTTGTCTTAACCAAAGTTATGCTTCAATTCATAGTGATGTAATGTAATTTTCTGAAATGGCTTATTTATTTTCTTTTTAGTGGTCGTTGGCAGCTATGAAAACTATGGTATTTTAAAATGGAATAATAACAAGGCTTTTTAATGCCGTACTAAAGTTAACCTTATATTTTATTATTTCAGTTGTTCATGGTGGACAATGGAGCAGATGACTGGAGAATAGCCATGACTTACGAGCGTATTTTCTTTATCTGCTTGGAAATACTGGTGTGTGCTATACATCCCATACCTGGGAACTATACATTCACATGGACAGCCCGGCTCGCCTTTTCTTATGCTCCATCCACAACAACAGCTGATGTGGATATTATTTTATCTATACCAATGTTCTTAAGACTATATCTTATTGCCAGAGTTATGCTTTTGCATAGCAAACTTTTCACTGATGCGTCATCTAGAAGCATTGGAGCATTAAATAAGATAAACTTCAATACCCGTTTTGTTATGAAGACTCTAATGACAATATGTCCAGGAACTGTACTGTTGGTTTTTAGTATCTCATTATGGATAATTGCTGCATGGACTGTCCGAGCTTGTGAAAGGTAAGGTTGTTTTGCTTGTTTAGTTCTGTTTTTCTCTCTTATTTTGCCCCTTCAGTTTTGGATTCAGGGGACTTAAATATTTAATGGCTTGTGGATTCTTGGTCCTTGATATTTTGTTAGCTGGGTTGTACTCTGCATCACAGATTGTCAGGAATGCTTTCCCTTTTAATCTGAAGGGCTTCTGCAGAGAGGCTTGTGCCACACTGCTTCTGTAGCACTACAATTTGATTTCAGTGTTTTGCTATAACTTTAGGTATGTTTGCTAGAATGCAATGGGCAGATACCATAAAATGTCTTTAAGAGTGGTTGTTGATATTCTGCATAGATATGAGCTTGCTTTTATTTTGTTTCTAAGTTAAATTTATTGAGGATATGGCAGATTAAGTAGCCATGTAAAGTTCCAATGGAAACTGGTTTGGGTTTTTTTGTTGTTGGTTTGGTTTGGTTTGGTTTTTTTTCTTTAATTTGAGCTTTATTGTTCTGTAAAAAAAGGGAGTGCAAAATATTGTTTGGGAGTTGGCCATATCAAAAAGGGGGAACAGGTAGAACAAGTACAATTAATATTGATCCTTTTTATTCCCCTAAAAATCAGGAAAAGTGCATTTGAGAGGCAAACATTCATTTCAGCTAGTTTTCCAACCTCCCCCTCCTACAGACTTCAGTGTAGGTGCAGAATAAATGGCTATCAGCGCTGACAGCTTGAAGCTGAATTTCTCAGTTTGGGAATATGAGATAGATTAACTCTAAGGAGACAATTAGGATTATTATCTATTAAAGATTTAATGCCTGGGACAGCTCTTAGATCCTGGAATGAATTTCTCCTTACTTAAACTGGAAGATCTGCAACATATTTAAGGTATTTCTGCTGCTGGTTGTTGACAATATTTTTTTCCTATTCCTTTCCATGTCTCACGATTTCAGAAGCAGTTTAGGGGAGCTATTTGTGACAGCTAAAATTGCACCCCGACTGTAAATTTTATATTAAATTTGGAAGTTACTCCTTGCATTAATTCTCAGTTTGTTACAATGAAAAATAGCTGATCTTAAAAACTCAGTGTAGACATTGTGTTGACATAATTTTTATTGTTAAAATTGCCAGAATTGTGGAATGTAATTTATTACAGTAGATGCTTTGTGTTAATGTTTCTTCATGTTATGGCAAGACTAATCATTGAAGAATGTTTTGAAAATGCTATGTTAATGGTGAGATACTATAGTTTGAAAATATTCCCCATAGTGGGAACAAACAGAGCACCCTTGATCTAGAATAGTTGTATTTTAACAAGGATGTTCTCATTTCATATGTAACTGACTTCTGCAAAGCCCTTCCTCTTTGTCTCCCATTCTTCACCTCTGTTCCCACCAGTGTTCTTTCAATAAAATTTACTGCTCAGGTATTTCTGAGTGTCTACCCAGGTATTTCCCAAATTGTCACTTGTGAAGTGGATCTGAATAACCTTGGCATTCATAGCTGTCACTGTTTTACATATCACTGGTTAATAATCTGTATTATATTATTATTAAAAAGTATTAAATAGTCATTGTGTTACTTTTTAATAGATGCACATTCAAAATAAGTGTCTCAGTGGAAATTACTGAAAAATATTAACTACTGTCTGATAAACATTTGTAAAACATACTTATTTGTTAGTATAAAGATGGCAGGACAAGAATGTATAGTGTATAAGTAATAGTAAAAGAAACAAAGACTACCTCACCTATTTTCCAGTCAGGGAGAGTGAAGACAACACTATCACAAAGTTTTGATTTTGTGAGTTTATTTCTCTTTAGAACTGAAGCACTTCTGCATCACAGTGATCCTGAGAAGATGCTTATTTGTTTGGCCAGGTACACTCAACTGAAGGTTGCAAACAAGGCTGAATTTTCTTCAACTCTCTGCTAAACTAGTAATGAATTTTCCACATTTTAATTTTCAGTTGCTGTCCTTTAAAGAACTGCAGTGGTTTAGACAGTAATCTGGATAGCCACTGAGTTCTCTGAAACAAAGCACAACTAAAATCAAGTTAAATTAGATTAATATGTCTCTGTCATAATTACCTTCTGTCAGTGGAGTCTAGTCCAAGGTTATGTTCATTCATACTTAAGAAAATTGTTAATTTTATGTTTCAAAAACACTAAAAGGGATATATCTTGGCTTTGGGAATTAGATACTGAGGTCATTCATGCTAGTTGCACAGCCAATTTTTGTGTGTTTTACCTCAGATTTTCCCCTGAGGGAATATGTAAGTATTTTGCCAAATGCGTGATACTGACTCTGGCTTCAAGTTATTAATTAATCCTCTAAAAACCTGCATATCCATAGCCCATAGAGAAGTAGATGTTTAACAAAAGCCTTTCAGAAGTAAACCCCAACCCCTACAGATTGGAATACTCTAAACACTCGGCCTTCTGAAGCTAAACATCCCTTCTTGTATAGCTGGAGACAGATATAACAGCCATTTGTCATGGGAAAAGACAGGTATGGATACATTCTGTGCTGTGTAGAGGTCATAGTCCCCAGAAGATGTCTCCTGAGATCTCAATGGCTTTGATTTGCTCAGTAGTTAAAAGTTGAATTTACACAAATAAAATAAATTTCTTTCATCTGCTCTTAAGTTGATTTTTTTTCCCCACATTTTTAACTAGAGGGAACACTTATTTATTGAAAAAGACTATTTTATGTGCACAAAGTGGTCCTGAAGATAAATGTTATCATTAGGAGTCTTTGCTATTCCGCTTGACACTATGCATGAAACCCTAATGAATTTCGATAAATTGATCTGAAATGAATTAAGCAGCTAGTGGCTTTGGTTTGGTGAGGGGGGATTTACATGAATGAAATTGGATGGAATTCAGTTCTCAGCATCACTCTAGCACCAAGTTCTTCAATTTTACATTGTATAGTAGTTCTACATAAAGCTTTGCACTAGCAGTTTTATTTCTTCAGTGTATTAAATCAGTTATCTAGCCATCCAAACTGGAATAAGATGATGGTGATAAGATTTAATACATTAAAATATTAAAATTTTGGAGTGGAGGTGAAACATTCTCATGCTATTCTATATCCTTGGTGAAGGGGGAAGTCACAGTAGGAAGTGTCCTCACTATGAAGTTGTGTGTGCTTAGCAAAAACTGTTGCTGCTGAATGACCACCTGATTTTGAGACTGTTGTTCTATTCAAAGTAAGATTTTTCTCATTGCAGGCTGTCCTATGAATAGGATGGGAGATGTGAAAGTATTGCATTTCATAGTGAGGAAGGTAGCACGAAAGAGCATCACTTCTGGCTTGCATCAGAAATAGCGTGGCCAGCAGGGACAGGGAAGGGATCTGACCCCTGTTCTCAGCAGTGCTGAGGCCGCACCTCGATTCCTGTGTTCAGTTTTGGGCCCCTCACTACAAAAAGGACATTGAATGACTCGAGCGTGTCCAGAGAAGGGCAACGAAGCTGGTGCAGGGTCTGGAGCACAGGTCGTACGGGGAGCGGCTGAGGGACCTGGGGGTGTTTAGGCTGGAGAAGAGGAGGCTGAGGGGAGACCTCATCGCCCTCTACAGCTCCCTGAAAGGAGGGTGCAGAGAGCTGGGGATGAGTCTCTTGAACCAAGGAACAAGTGACAGGACAAGAGGGAATGGCCTCAAACTGCACCAGGGAAGGTTTAGACTGGATATTAGGCAGCATTTCTTTCCAGACGGGGTTGTTAGGTGTTGGAATGGGCTGCCCAGGGAGGTGGTGGAGTCCCCATCCCTGGAGGTGTTTAAGAGTCGGGCTGACATAGCGCTGAGGGATATGGTGTGGTTGGGAACTGTCAGTGTTAGGTCAATGGTTGGACTAGATGGTCTTCAAGGTCTATTGCATCCTAGATAATTCTGTGATTATCCATCTTTCAAAGGAAAATCCTGTAGAGACAAGTTTATGTGTTGAGGCAGGCAAGTTGACTGTCTGAATAAAGACTTCTCTCTTTTAATGATCATCTGACTGATCACTTGATATACACTGAACTAAGGCAGGACATGTGTCTTTCTCAGTGCCTTAATGGCTATATTGTTAGCTCCCAGAATGCTAATTATAGCAACTGACACTTTGGGTTAGTGAGCAAGGTATTTTCCAGGATTGTAGTTTAAGGTCATCCATGAGGGCAGAATGTGGTACAGATAATAATGGTGGACAGCCAGCCGAGTATAAATGGGTTGCTAGGGCTGCACAGTAAGCTGTCTGAGGGAGTTTGGGAGGAAAAGTTGGGGAAAGCACGCAAGTGTTGCCAGAAACTTGCTTTCTTATTGCTCAGGTTTTTATGTCTGTTTTGAGGGGAAGATTACATTGCATAGGTTTTAATATCTGCCTTCTCATTGCCATCATCAGTATATCTGTCTGTCATATGTGGGCTTCCTAATGAAAATCTAAATTTTCTATTAGGTCTAACTCAGTAGATGTTTGTGTTTGTAACATCTCTGAGGTACATGATCTAGAACACTTACGAGCGTGTTTCTTCTATATATGAATTATGACCCCTGTAAGCAGATTACTTTTTGCAGTCTTTCATACTGATCTTGTTACTGAAATAGCTCTGTGCATGGTTGTCAGTTGTTCATAGCAGTTAAAATAGAAATATTTAGTTTCTAAAAAAAAAAAGGTTAATATGTATATCATTATGTCATTGAAAGCCTGACAAATTTGATTCACTGTTCTGGAGACCTGTCTGCTATGAGAACTGTGCTGCTTTTCTAGGCTATGTAGAAGGTAGTCGCTCTTGTTGAACTTTTATTTTGTGTGCAAAAGCAGAAAGAACCTTGCCTTCTGAAGTACTCATGACTATAACATGCTCATTTATCAGGGCAACATGAGCCACATGTGCCCGTATTACACTGTTGTACATCCCAAACAGCTCATATCACATGCTTGGAGTTACAGTGGATTTACAGGAGCAGAACTCAGAACAGAAGTGGATTTTCTGCTTCCCCGGAGAGCACATTTTTGGCACCATTTTTGGTTCTGTTTATACCT